ATGACTTAAAGATCACACGCCCTTGAAACCTCTGACTTTTTAGCCAAGCCATGCACAACATTACTTGTGACATAAGCAGATGTCTGAATACAGTCCCCTAAATCTATAATCAGTCAGTTCTCTGATTCCAAAGGATCAACACATTCATTGCTTCAGCAATGTGGACCTTCAATGCATGACCCTATACTGATGACATGCAATATTATTCTGGCATGGTTAATATGGTATCTTTAGATCTGGGAAGCCTAAAAATAAACCAGTAGCAGTGACTTTGATTTAGAGCTGTTCCTTAAAGACAGCAGACCTACATGCTTCTTCTTTCGTTTACCAACTGAAGTGGAAGTGCAGAAGAGCAACAATGATATTATTTTCAAAGAAACTCACTGCCAACTGAGCAGTGCTAATGCACTGGCTCTTCAATAACCATTGTGACAAAATAGATTAGTTTATTTACAGTGAGTCATAATTCAAGACAGCTGAAGAGTATGCATTAATATTTACAATTATAGAAAGAATCAGGTAATATATTGGATTACAACTACTGAAGGACACTCAAAGGGAGCTACCATCAAGGCAAATACAGTATTTTCATTTTCAAGGTCTTTCTCATAATTTTAAGTTCTACTATAACTTAATGTTTGCAAAAAATGTCAGATTTACTTGGGACACTGACTTGAATTTCAATACTCTAGCTCAGCAACAAGGAGAAGGGAAAAATTAAGTGACTTAGCCACAAGCATAAATTACCAGCACATTTTGTCAAGTCTCTAGAGTTTGACACCATAGTTTCAATTCACTTCTGTCAGGTTCTACAGCTAAAATATGATATTTTAACATTCTTGTTTCAGAACAAAATCATAGCTAATTGACTTCTTTTATAAGCTCATCAAACACTTGGTCAGAAAATGCAGAATACAGAGTCTACTGCTGTGAACATGTCTTACTTGAATTTCAGAACTTAGATAAATTCTCAAAGACTCTCTGGAAAAACTCACACAGAAAACACACTTTATGTGTGTTACAAAATCTTTCAGGCTCTTGAGGGTTTTTTGAGCAGTCACATCCTGTGGTTTTATGGCTCTGAGAGGTCACTATTTACTTCTGTCTTTTAAAGTGAGGGAAGTGATACACAAGTCCTTACAGAAGACTGGAATATGCAACATTTAATATGATAAAAGAAATACCCTTAATGAGACTCCTTTGCTGTAAAGTTCTTGTATTATAGTTACACATCTTATTTCGAGAGTTATCATCATCAGTTGCTTCACTCATACATGTAGGGTCTAGTTCTACTACGAGAGTGGATAAACCTGAATTCAAAGTTGTATTCCTAGTGACACTTTTATCATAATGACTTGTGGCTGTAAAAATGAAGTAGAAATTTTTGAAATTAAAGAATTTTGAAGATGAATACCTACAAATACCTTATGTTCCACCACTATTAAAAGACAGTGGATATGAAAATTAAGAAAGCAACTGCAAGAATTGAAGGCAAAGACTGACTAAGTAACAACTGAATGGGGAAGTTCAGAATTCAGTTTCTAACAAAGCATTCCAAAAGGCTCCAAGTGTACCAAATAGAAAATACCTATTTTCTTTACACTATTACTACCTGCTTGGAATTTTTAAAATTGCAATTGCATATTTTTAATTGTATTATTTATTACATTATTATTAAATATTATTTATTATCTTTTAAATTGCATTTTGTATATTCAGAAGAACAGAAGTGATCAAACAGACACCAAGACCTAGAACTGCTGTTCAGAAGGCTTCAGTGTCGTTAGTTATGAGACTGACAGTTCTTAACGAAATGGATCTACTTTGCATGCAGTTACTCATCTTGAAGATTATTCACAAACAATGATCTTATTACTTCATTTTGCGCCTACTAGTACAGATAATTCATTACCACATATGGGACAGCTCATAGAAATAAGCAATACAGCCTGTGGGAAGTATTTACAGGATATTATTCCATTGTCTTCTGTAAAACATACCAGCACATCACATAACCTCACATAGCTTCTCCCTGTGATTGCTGTGTGATGTCTAAGCAAAAGCTGGGTATGCACATTTGAGTCTCAAATTCAGAATCAAGCAGATACAAGTCAAAGACAGCTCTATTTTGTGTAAGGAAAGTAGGTTACCTAGTTAACCGCATACAAATGAAGCCATTAAGTGAGCTGCCAGGTAGATTCTATGCACTGTAGATTTCAATAGGAAGTCTAGTAGTGAATGATCCACCCTACTCAGCTTCACAGAAATCTGTTTAGTGGGTTTTTTTTCTAAAGAATAATAATTTTTTGCTTCACTAATAGAGATACTGAGAATATTTCTACTTGCATCTCCTATCCTCCCACTCTGAAAGCTGTGTCACTGCATATTTGTCAAAGGATCCCTGTCACAGATGTTCTGGTTCTGCACTGACTTCTCATAAAGAGCATTCTTCCTGCAGACGTTCTTTAAATTATTATATGTTCTTGCCATTTTTTCCTCACAACCAGATTTCCACAGTTCTTTCCAGACTTAGGTAGACACCAAGTGAACACAAGAGTTGTTTTACACTGTGGAGACCTGAACCTGATTCCTTTGGGCTCAGTGAGAGCAGGATGACAGCAAGAGTAGACTTGCACGTATCTGGTAAGAGAATCTTTTTTTTTTTTTTTTTTTTTTACTCTGGATCATTTACCTTATTCTCCATGACACTGTTAGATTGAACACGATGCAGCTCCTTAAGCTTCCCAGTGTTTCAAAAAAGTAAACAGAGCTCAGAATACCTTTTTTCTTTCCTTTTTAAAATATCAATATCGACACTTTTTGTAAACTATATATGGACCTATGTGTATTTATACAACGGGTAACACTTATATCTGACCACTTAATATTGTCCAGCAAAAAACTACAGTTAAAATACAAAGTCAAATTCTTAGAGCACTGCTGAATGTCTGTTACACCACTGTATTACATTAGTTACAAAAACCTCGTATTTTTGTAGGCACAGATCATTTGGTTTCAGCACCATTCCCTAAATGACATGCCCAACAAAACACTTAGGAAAAATAGGACACTTGCTCAAGCAAGTTAAATCAGGCAGTGTATAGAGAAGGCTGTGACTTACAACAGGATTGTTTTGTTGTCCAAATTAAAAAATAAAGGCATATTCATTGAGGCAGGGTGATGACTTCTGCAAATGCAGCCATATGAAAAACTACAACCAAAGACAACATACAGAACCCTTGTTGCAAGGACAGCTTGGATTCAGTCTGCCCATCAGAAAGGCTGCTCCTTTCAGCAAGGATTACTAAGGTTTTGCAGGATTCTATGCTTAATTTCACCACAGAGCACAATGAACAGCAAGGAACTGTGGACCTGAGTGCCTGCTAACAAACTTTGTAGGAATGCGTCAGACACTTTATCTTTAAAGCCCAGGATCAAGAAACGCCAGGGATAATGTTTTTTTTAAAAAGAACAGAGGTATTTTCTAATCATTCTTCTGATTCTGTACTAACCTGGGAGCATAGTGGCTTCAGAAACATGAAATAATATTTTGATAACCAAAGAAACTATTTCCACTTCAAGTTGTTAACTGTAATCCTTTGCTATTCTAAGGCCATTTTTTTTCCTACGATGTATTTTGCCTCTTCTTTTAACCATTTGATCAGTAGCTTATGATAACCTATGCCTAAAATTATTCCTGTCAAATACTTTAATCTTTTTTTTCCACAGCCAAGCCCTTATCCCAATCCTTCTGATTTATACAAAAATAAACCAATTAGCCTCACTGAAGTTTAGCTGCCTTGACAGCCTTAGTTTTCTTCTAACGGGATCTCAGTTTCCTGTTTGCTGAATCCTCACCTTGCAGAAGCCAGAATATTTTGGTATATTTTCATCCTTTAAAAAACCTTTTTGATTTAGTATACATTTTAGTAAGTTTTAGTAGCAATTTCTGCCATTCCCCTCCTGCATACGAATGTGAGGTCTCACCTGACTTGTCGGAAGAATCATCAAACTCCACGTTGAAGGAGTGCCCGTTGTTGACGATGCTTCTGGCCGTGCTGGCATCATAGTTGAAGCTAAGAGGCTTCAGAGAGGAGTCGTACTTGGCGGACTTGCGGCAGATGTCAATGGGGGACTGGCGCTCTCCATTGGCGATGGGAAAGTGCTCATGCCAGTGAGCGGGTCCTGTAAGACAGCGAAACGCAACTCAGTGGGAAAAGACACAAAGTTAGGGGGATAAAAGCGACAACCCTCCTTCTGGAAATCTGGATGTTCGAACTATTTCGAACACCAGCATCAGCCTTTAACTGCGCGCCACATGTGTGGGCTGGCGGCAGCAGCAGCGGGGGCGAGCGGGGGTCCCACCTGGGCACGGCGGCACCCGGCGGCCGCGCAGCCTCGGCGGGGGCTGTACCGGGGAGTCCTGGGGGACACCCCGTCCTGTGGGGCAGCGCCGCGTTCCCTTCCCCAGGTAAAGGAATGTGAGCAGGGAAGCAGGAGATGCTCCGGCACGGCGTGCGGAGCGCCGGACGCGCTGCCCGGGCGCAGGTGCATTTCAAGGTTACGAGGAAAAAGCGCCACGAGCTCGCTGCCGCTCCAGGCAAGGGCTCCGCGGGGCAGCAGCGGGCACGTCCCGGGCGCGGCTGCCGGCAGGTGTCCCGCACCGCCGGGCACTCACCGTCGTGGCTGCCGTATCCCCAGTGGTGGGACATGGTGCGCGGCCCTGCTCTCCCCGTGGAGGCTGTCACAGCACCGTGGCCCCAGAGCGCTCTCAGGGGCTTTTATAGGCTCCCGCCAACTCCATGCCCTTCTCTGCGGCCAGAGGAGGGGTGGGGAGTGCGGGCGAGGGCGGAGGGAGACTCCGCTGGGGGCGGAGAGAGCGGTCCCTTATAATCCGCCATCGGCCGCGGAGCTGCTGCGGGCCCGGCGCAGAGCGCCCCCGGCAGGCAGGCTGGGCTGGGCGGTGCGAGGCGGGTTGGGTTGGGTCGGGTCGGCGCGGCCCCAGGCAGGGTGGGGGTGCGGGGGCTGCCGGGCCCCCTGGTCCCCTCGTCCCCTCCGCCCTCCTGCCCTCCTTCCGCGCATCGCGCACCTGCGGGCGCTGCGGGGCGCCGTGACCTTGGGAGGCGCCGGGGCCGAGCAGCGCGCCGGGAGCCGGTGCGGGGCGGGCGGCGGTGCCAGAGCGCGGCGTGAGAGAGGGAGCGGGTGTGCGTCCGTGTCCCTCGGTCTGTGTGCGTGTCTGTGTGTACGTGCGGGTGCGCGGCGCGGCAGGGCGGTCGGGTGCTGCTCCCTGCTGGGAGCGGGGGGAAAAGAGGGAAGAGGGCAGCCCGGCAGGGCAGTTCGGCAGTGCCGGAGGGTGCTGCAGCCAGGGTTTGTCATAGGTGACAGGTTTTGGAGGCGCAGATCGGCGGACTTACGGAGAGGAGCTGTGGTGGGGCTTCAGGAGATCGGGGATGTCGCCGCTTACTGCTCCGTAGTGCGTTTTTCCTGATCGCCTCCGGAGAAGCTGCAGGTCGAGCTGCGCTTACATGTAATTCTTATCATTGAAGTATTACACACTTAACTGTGAGAGCGGCTCAGCTACCGCTCTCGAGGCTGGATTAGCGAGAACAAAACTGTGCAATACATATTTTAGATGTTTTCCTATTGCGCAACGCTCCGGTGTTCCGTGGGAGGGCGGGAGGTCTCGGACCTTGGCGGCCCTGCCAGCGGCCAGGGTTTGTCATAGGTGCCAGGCTCCGTTCCTGTGGTGCCGGCTCCCCTGGCCCGGCGCTGCCGTGGGGCGGGCTGGCCCCGAGGGGCAGCGCCTGCCCGAGCGCGCTCGCAGATGGTCCTGTTCGAGGGCTTTTCTGTGTCTGTCTCCTTCTGCTCAGAGCAGATTTCGGTATGGAAATGACATTGTAACTTAACCCCATTTTCTTATTAAGATGGTTTGTTCAAATCTGGTTTTAATATTGTCCTGTTGTGGTTTAACCACGGGGGTCTAGGTTCTGTTTTCAGTGAGGTCATTGTAAATCTAGAATAACAACACCAGAATGACTTCATCATTTACATTCAGCATTGTAAAATCTGTGTCTTTTGTTTGTATTTGTAAGACGAGGGAGAAAAGTCTATTTGTGTAATGGGTACTATTGGTAACAGCAAACGTAACCAGCTGGAAATTGCTTACAAAATTTACAGGCATTTCTCAGACCCTTTCAGGTATAAGCAGAAAATATTTAAAGCTTGTTAGTGATTAACACAGTATGTGTCCTAACATTTGCATGCTTCAATATGGTTTAGCGACCACAAAATGGAAATGTGATGGCAGAACTGTATACACAGAAGTTATTTAGAAATGGCTGTGGCGTGGGATGTAGAACAACAAATGGAAATGCATGTTACGCATTTATTAGTCATTCCTTGTTTGATCATTATAGATACTTTGTATCAATCGCTTTCAAATCTGCCAGTCGTGCTATCCAGTATATCAACAGTCAGTAAATGCAGAGATACACAAACCATATAGGTAAGAACCCTTGAAGAACAAAGCAAAAAACATCCCTTTATGTTGTAAGAAGGAATAAGATTTTGATAACTTTCAGAAGGTTTTTTTCCATTCAATTTTACTATTGAAAAAATCCATTCAGTCTGATTCTTCTGTACTCTCACAAGTCAAGTTTCCACTGACGTCAACAGGAGTTCCATATAAAGGACAAGTAACAGGATTAAACACTACACAATGTTTGGCATGGTAGGTTTCCTAAAAGATCTAAGGGCTCTTACCAGGGAAATTAAGTCACCAGCATCATCAAGGGACTGGGATTTTTAATTACTTGAATCTTCATTTTCTTATCAGTAGATAAATGTGATGCATGCTAAGCACACAGACATAACATCCACAAATAGAAAGTCCAGTGCTCTTAAAATTAAATACCTATTTTCCTTGATCATTCAGCAGTACTTGCAGGCTTGAGCCCGTGCCAAGGGACTAATGAGAGCCTGGCATAGGCTTGGGCTTGTTGATTCCAGCCTCTTTCTTTTCTGTCTCCCACCGGCACCAGACTCATAATCTGTGACTGTGGCTTTATGGCAGAATGCAGTGCCTCGGGCAAAGCCAAAAGCTAGCCCTGGGAGGAAGGTGGATCCTAGAAATGGTACAATCAATAACACTGCACATGGGTGAAGATGCAAGGCATGTTAGGAACAGCAAAAGGATACAATGCACATCAGCTCTGTGCCTGCAGCAGTTCAGGCTTCTCAGAGAAACCCAAACTCTGCTCCATGAGGCTGCTCCTCCCCGCCACAGTTGTGGTGAGGTCGGTGGAATGACGCACACCACTGAGGCCTGCTTGCATGTACAGGATGTGTAGGAGCAATTCCTAAAGCACATGTTCACAAATCCTGTGGCAACAGAAGCATTAAAAATACATTTCAAGCAATACAAATACAGAGAACAGATTAGATAATTACTGTAGCCATTTGATTACTCATGACTGACATTAACATTTTGGGTAGAAAAGATGCCAGTGTAATCTTGTCTCCCTTTCTGTCACTACCAGTACCATATACTGTGAAGGTTTTTAGAAACCAATAAAACCAGATGCCATTCTTCATCTCTCCTCAACTTCTTAGAGTCAGATCACATCCAAATGTGGTAAACAAATTGGTGTCCCTAGATTTGATGGTACTTCTGAATCATATTAAATACAAACAGAAGTAGCATCAATAGCTTCAGTCTGTTCATTCACTCAGATGCCTCCATGCTGTTTATGGTACTCATTTGTGGGCAAAGGACAGTACAAAGCCTGTACATCACTTAGGCCCCACTTGAATTCTGTTTTGAAGTTTTACATGTCACAGAACAGTTGTTGACTCTGTGCACAGGAAGGGCATATCCTGTTTGTGTATGTTTTATGAAATTTCCTGAAATATGTTTTTATTGTGATTATTATTACTTGTGAAGCATAGAAAATGTCAGTACAGATGGAAAATGGCACAGATGCTTCCGTATCAAAGTCTTTTTTTTCTTAGTAAGTTACCAACTTCTAGTAGTACTCTGGCTGCAGGAGTGATGACATGCCACACAGGCTGTAACCTGCTAGACATTTTTAGCAGAAGTGCATCCAGTGATTATGCTGTAAATCTACCTTTTAATTTTTATGGTAGATTTTCAACTCTGAAAATCTATTTGCAGTCTTTTTTTAACATTAAAAGTCATGTTACTGTTCAGTGCTGAGCAAGATGCAGAAGAACCTTGCAGTGCTCTGATTCATTCTAGCAATTCTGTGAAAGTTAAATGCAATTATGAAAATAAAAGTAATGTTTGGTCCTCGGTCAGGTTAGAGTTCTTTCTTGTATTACAAAAATGATGGTTTACTACTAATTTCTAATGAGAGAATAATGCAAGTACTAGCAAGGCAATCTTCGTGGCATGTCAGTGCAGTGGAAAAAGCCTGACTGCCTTTCTTTCTGAGTTCTAACTAGTGCTGACACAAACCACTTCAATGCATTTTGAAAAATCCATACACACTTTGAATTATACCACATTTAAGAAACCTCTGCTGTAGAAATGAACAAGCTTGACTACATGAATAAACTTTATTTTCCATACAAAAGCTATTTGTCATGATTACGTGAAATTACATCCATAAAGCCATGTGCAGTATAAAATTAATGTCAATAAGGACATTTTAGTTAAGTCCTGCATCCTGCATCTTCTCATACCAGGCCAATGTATTGGTTCACTAGCTGCCATGATGTTTTGAACTGTCTCACAACCTGGCCTTTGGGTGTCTGGTCTTTACAGTTTCAGTCGCTATTTCCTTGCTCATGTGATAGTATGCCTTCCTCCTCACATGAAGGTGTCTGTGGTCATCATCCTGATTTCTCACTATGTAACCTTCTGCAGATACACTCCATAATGTTTTGAAAACCCCTGCCTCCTGCAGCTGGCATTGTGCCATGTGGTAAACTCACATCAACTCCCACTGGAAGTCTATTACCAGGATGCACATGTGAGAGTATTGCAAGGAAATGGTGGCAGCAGCAGCTCGCCAGTCTGATACAGTACAACACTGCATATGCAAAGGATTTAAAACTGGTTTATAAAATAATCAAAGCCATCAGCTTCCAGCTGGTCACAGGAAAGTCACTCACTATTCCTCTGCCAAGAGGTGCCAGCACTATTTGGGAGATTTGGAGAAGACAATGTTAACTCTAGAATTCCTGCCCACCAAGGTCAGCATATTATAGATTCTTATTTTAAAAAGTTACTAGCATCCAAAAGTTTCTTGCTTCTGATACCCCCAGTAACTTCTGGAAGCAGAAAGTTACATTTGGATAGAGCATAAAACATTTTATTGTACTGGTACACTGACTGATGAAAATGAAAGTCGTTCTTCTGCTGTAGTGATAAATAGTTAATGTAGCTCATACTCAAATTTGGACTCACCAAATATTACAGCTTTAGAAACACTAAAATGAGTGCAGCGTGAATGAGAAGGGAATTCCCAAAAGACAGAATAGAAAGTTCCAAAGTAAACCTCTGTATCTTTCCAAAAACAAAAGAAAAGGTAGGAAATCAGTTTGTGAAACTGAACTAAAGAAAAGAGAAATGGAAACAAAAAAAAAGGAGTACCTAATTACACATGCTAAGAGATAGCTATGGGTAAAGGATTGAACCTTACCTCTAAGTACAGCTGAAAGAAATTACAGAAAATAGATTTGTGAGAAAATTTAGTATTTACCTTGGTGTCAACTATTACCATACAAATGTATGGTATATACATATCATATACATAAGTAATTGTATGTATGTAATTCTGTTAGGTTCTCTGATGAGTTTAATAATGCCATCTATCCTGCAAAGTGTAGATCAGTTAAATCACCTGAACTTAAAAAACCCACCAAAATCAGCCATATTGTTTTCACCTTCATTGCAGGTAAAAAGGTAAAATTTAGGAAGAAATGAGATTTGAACTTCTATGACAACTTGTTAATTTGAAATTAAACAAAACAAACAAAAACACACAGCACACTATGAGATATTCTATTTTTATTATTAGAGACCATGCCATGCTCTGCTGTTGTTTGCTGAATGTGTAAATTGGAGGCACTGAAAATAGTATTCAACCAGATACCCTCTAAATGGGCATTCTGAGATTTACTTTACATGAGATCCTGCACAAAGCTCAAGGGAATGGTGACAAGATCCTCTTTTACCCTTTGAAAGAAGTTTCTACTCCAGCTACAGACAATGTAATGAAAATTCTCATGGGTTGGGAAAAGCAGTGCTAAGCACACAGAGGGACTATGGGCTGTGTGTAGAGCAGTGACCAAGCAGAGCTTCCACAGGAGCTCTCAGTTGCCCCCAGGATGGGAGTTAGATGGTGGCTGAACACCAATGACTGCACTGTGCAGAGCTCCCAAATGTCCTGTCTCAAAGGAATAAATATTGATTGGGTTTTTTTTAGTTTCTTTGGCCAAACTTTCACATCTAAATGAGCAGGAAAGAGCAGAACAAGCCCTCTTAGTAACAAAAGACCTTCA